ACACACACACACACACACACACACACACACACACACGCACTGATTATCTGGATCTAGATATGACAATAAAACCACCTCAGACCAAAACACTTATTAAAAAAGAATCAGTGTAATAATAAATACTGATAATTAATTTTTACCTGAAGTTAAATACTAGATTTACCAATAGGTATATTAAATATTTGACATGACAGTCGCATCTGACAGGGTTGACACATTATGTGATTCTGACATATATTGAGAGGAAATGAAAGACACCAAAATGTAGGTGAATATCTCTGAACACACCTCAGAGAGTAAACTTTTATATATATTTTTTAAGTCTAGTAGCATGTTTTGTCCCATAGTTAAATAATAAAAGTATTAACATTATGGAAATAAAAATAATTAATAAATCAAAAATCTGTTCAGTCATTTCTGTGCAACTCAGTCCAAATATCATATGATCAGATTTTGGACAAAATTGTGCAAAATTTGTAGGAGTAGCAGCGAAAAAACGTTTTCATTTACTTCAATATTGCGGACAGACACACTGATAGAAAATGACAAGTGAGATACCACCGGGATAGACATAACCCAAGGAATGAAAGGACACAAAAATAACAACATTTGGACAATGTTTTCAAAAGTTGTGTGTTTTTGCAAGAATCGTTATATCTCTGGAACACTAGGTGGCGCTGTCTTCAAACTTCTGAGGTACCTCCAGGACACGGTGTTGATGATCCCTACCCACATTTTTGTGCAGATATGTCAAATGGTTCAAAAGATATTGCAATTTATGTCACGTTTTAAATCCATAGAAACCAAGATCATGATTTTCTGATTAACGGTTCAAAAGCTATAAGCAAAAATAGCCATTTCACATATCTCATGATCCCAAATTTGGCATGGACCCTCAGATAATGGAGCTGATGAATCGTACCGAGTTTCGTTTCGATTGATCAAAGTTTGGCCGAGATACTGCCTCTGAAACTATTTCGGGTCGACCTCGTTAACTTCACAACATCATAACTTTTTTTTTTCACCAGTCGGTCAAAAAATTCTGTGCAGTCATTTCTGTGTGGCTCGGTCCAAAGATCATTTCTAGCAGTTTTCAGAAGAATTGGACAAATTCTGAAGGAGGAGTAGTGAAAAAAC